TTCAGTTTCATCTCTGAAGAATTTAGGATCTTGGTTTGATGAGCATGCAGGCTCATATAAATCACACATGTAAGGCTGTATATTACCATCTAATTAATGTAAGGTGTATTAGGAAATACCTAAGTAATGAGGCAACACAATCATTAGTTCACGCACTAATAATTGGGCGTATTGATTACTGTAACAGCATCCTATGTGGACTGCCCCTAAAGTATGTTAACAAGTTACAGCGCCTTCAGAATTCAGCATGAAGATTGATTTTCAATATACCAAGGTTTGACCATGTGACACCAGTTCTAAGATCTCTACACTGGCTTCCAGTAAAATTCAGAATCGAATTTAAAGTAGTTCTAATGACTTTTAAGGCACTCCATGGACTTGCCCCTAGACATTTGAGAGATTTAATTACGATTAAAGAGAATAGTGGTTATAACCTTAGATCAAATAAAGGACTTCTGTTGTTACAACCGAACAAAACTTTTGAAACATTAGGTGATCGCGCATTTTCTGCTGCAGCACCAAGACTCTGGAACAGCCTCCCACTGGAGCTTGGTAACGAGAGAAACCTGTCAAAATTCAAGAACTCCTTAAAGACTTACTTTTTTAGGTTAGCCTTTTATTAGATTTTGATATATTTAATGTAGTTATTTGTAAATAGTTTTATATAGGGTTATATTTAATTTTCTTCACATAATTAATACTTATTATAATCTTACATACACATTATATATATATTCAGTATTTTTTTAAAGACATTTGTAATGCGCATTAGATTATATGCATATAGATTTATGTGCAATATAAATAACAAAGTATTATTATTATTATTGCAGCAGACGACCGAAACAAAAAGCAGGCGAAACAGAATTTTATAGAAGCAGATCATGCTTTGAAACTTTACAAAATGATGCATAATGAAGAGCCTGATATCAGGGAGCCACAGTTCTCCGTCATCCACAAAACCGAGTACTTCGTAGAAGCAAGGTGAAAAGATCTACATCCGAGGAATGGCTTTGGCTTTGGGATTGACTGCCACTCGATTCATGTGAACACAAAAGAAAAATGGAAAGAAAACTTTTAAGAGTTTATTATAGCCCGAAAGGATTTTGCAAGGGATTGGCTCCGGTGGAGAAGTTATATAAAGAGACCAGAGTTTCTAAAGATGATGCAAAACTTTGGCTGATGAAGCAAGCCATCTGGCAGATTCATTTGCCTGCCCTGAAGCATGTGCCGAGACCGACTTTTGATGTTGAATCTCCAAACGAAGTTCATCAAGCTGATCTTCTTTTCCTTCTTCATGACAGACTTCCGAGAGGAGAGAAGGTCTGTATGTACGCATTGTTAGTTTTTGATGTTTTTGATGTTTGCTGGCTGTCACCTCAGAAGATTCTTCTGAGCTCTCAAAGGCTTTTCAGACAGTCTATAAGCGGGGACCATGGACATGGCCAAAAGTTCTTTAGGTTGATCCTGAGCATGAATTCTTGGGCGAAGTAACCAAAGGGATGGCAAAGCATGATGTGAGAATAAGAAGAGAGAATGTAAACGTTTATAGGGATCAGCAAAGAGTTGAGCCTTTCAATCGAGCTTTGGGTGATTGCCTCTTCACTTTCCACTTTTCGCTCTTCACTTTTCACTTTCAAGTCAAGAGTGAACCTCTAATACAAAAAGAGATCGACATAAAGGGTAAAGAGACTTCCAGAGGTTGTCTCAGCATTGAATAGTGAAGTGACCGGGTTGACGGGAAAGAAACCTACTGACGCAATCAAAGGAAAGGCGGTTGACGCAAAAAGTTCAACCACTTATTCAAGACCTGTTGCTTGAAAGAAAAGAGATTCGACTTTCCAAAAAATGTGGGATATCTCTGTGCCGCAGGTGAGCTGGAAAGCGTTAAAGAAGAGCAACAGATCCAATCTGGTCTCCCAAAGTCTTCAATATCGCCAAAACACTCGTGAATGAACGTAAGCCTATTCTCTCCCATCTGAAAGGCGGACCAAAGCGTGGATTCGTCAGTGAAAAACTTCAGATTGTTCCTACCGGAACGGAGCTGCCTCCTGAACGAGTTTCGTTGATTTGAAAAAAAAAAACTATCACAAAATGAGTTTCTCAGTAGACCCAAGCAATCCTGGTGAGTCAATTCAAGAAACTGATGAAGATGTGAACAGTAAATAGATTGTAAATCTTGCTCCGACGAAGGGCTAACCTCGAAACGTCAGCTTTTATAACCGTAACGGTGGCCAATTTACCATTTCAACTTGTTGATATATTCAAATTATATCGTTACCCCTACCGACGCAGCGCCAAACAGTTTCTTTAGAAACTATCAGCCTTCCTTCATGATATCACATAGACCACAGCTCAAACAGTGAAATATTTCATTAAAATAAATTTTGTGCTACTGATTTCGATCAATCTGGATTGAACAACCAAACAACACAACAAAGAAAAATTTCTTTCTTGACCGTCAGAAGAAAAAATCAAGGCACACCACGCATTCTTCAGGATAAGAAACAATTTTGATGCCGATCCTGTAGTATGATCCTGAAACCAAGAAGCATGCTTGCATGCTCAAAGACTGAATATCACAGGCGATGTTGTGAAATTCAGGCGTGATCAGCAAGGGTATGACTGAATTTCACACACTGACCTTGTGAAATTAAAAATGAACCAGAACTGTACCTTGAAATCAAGATTGTCTCAAAAATGAGCCAGAATCCCCATTTTATAACTACTAAAGTTTCCTTAGCGTCTATAAAACTCGCGCGACTTTCTGTTCCTTTGGTACCACAGCTCACCTGCAGTCTTTTAGAAAAATCTTTGGAAATGACAAGAAACAAGGAAACAGTTTTCTCTTTCGCCTGACTCTACGAAAATGGCCTTGTGCTTCGGGTGAAAACATCACGCTTAAAATGTCCTCAGCAGTTTAACGACGATTCATGCAATTTTCTCTTACTGTGTTCGCCAACCATCCTTTGGAAAATCAGCGAACAAAAAGAAACACGTCATCTCTCCTTAGTTTCTTTTTTTTTTTTCTTAATATCACTAGCTTATCGTATTTTAGGAAACTAAAGTTGTCTAAATTTGATGAGCAGTCAATTGGGCCTTTTTGCAAGGACGGGCTTCTTCGCAGGTATCAAATCCCTGAGGTCACACAAAAACACCCCAATAACGTCAGTTCCTGGGGCTGGGTTCTCAGAGTAAAAAGTGAAATATGAGTAACTTTGACTACTTCTTTGCTTAAAACACCGACTTAATCTTTCATGATGTAATCAGTTTATCATTGATTGATTAGTAATGGTTTAATAAAGACATCACTTGTAATTATAAATCAGGTACTTTCATTTGCTTTCTTTGTGGCCAATAAGAAGCATTCTCAGATTGACAAAATGAAACAATGTCTGCCAGGTGGAGGATATTACATCCAATCCTTGAACTGGCCAGACAACTTTCAAAATTGACTACTCTCTAACTCGCCCATGAATTCATTCAACACGAATTCTTGTGGTTTCGTACCCGCAGTCGTTTCGTACCCAAATTCAGTTGATCTGTACCTAGTTTAGGTCCATTTGTACCCGAAATATACAAATATACCTCACCTCTATTATTGCGAACGAAAAGTTATTATAGTCAAGCGAGTAAGACGCAAGCAAAATTCCGTCGTAATTGTGACGTTCTTTCTCAGCGCAAGATGTTATATTTTTAATAGACCAGTCTATTGTTTATACTTTTGATTTTTTTAACAATGAAAACTAGTTTAAGTGTGATTCTTTTCTCCCTTTGTTATAAACAGTGATAAATTCGTTTATTCTCGTTTAATCGTTTACTGTTTTCTTACTTTAAAAATACTTAACATGGAAGACATACTTTACTAGTATGGGTACGAAACGACCGTGGCACGGAACGACCGTTAACCGTCGGTGCAATATCAAAATTGACTGCCACCTCCACCTGGGTAAACTGGTCCGACATCTAAGCGGGGCAATGGTTTAATGCACGAAGATCTTGAACAGCAAACCCAAGTCCGCCATTGGCTCACGTTCTGGTCCCATGTTCTAGTTGAATCGAGTGCATAACCTCTGACTTTTCAGTGATATGAGTTTCTGCTATAGAACCTGGGTTATGTATTCTCACAAAAGAGAACCAAGCAATCTCAATAAAGACTTTGCTTGTTATGATGTTCTAGTAATTAGAAAACGCGGGGAAATTTAGGTTGGATACATGCTGAAATTTGAATTCAGTGCAATCAATGATCATGTTCCAAGAATGTTGAATTGTTCTACAAATGATCTACACAGGTACTGAAATGCAGCTGTTTTCTCAATTAGATTGGAGTAGCTTATTATTCTTGTTTCACTTGAGCCGCAATCTTCAATTCTTCATTTTGTTTAGTAGCCTTGAATGTTTCCAGTTTTTCTTTTTGATCTTTTAACCGTCACTTTAAGCTCTCAGTCGTTTCATCATATTTTGAACACTGGTCACCGCCCAATCAACTTGTCGTTTCCGTCTTTTGTCGTACTCAAACGAGCAGAAAGCTTGTTTTGTCAACCCTACCCTATGGGTCTCAACCCTACCCCATGGGATTCTATTGCGCAATGGTAACGAGCAAGGGCAATACCTTCACGTATGCTGACAACAGAACCACGGCTGTCATCCACTTATTACGTATCGTTAACCAACACAGAGAATGATTTGAAATAAAGTTTCAATTTAAAGGATTCGTCTGAGAATTCGTATGAGTTCCCCTCAAAATCATTTCATAAAAACGTGTTACTGCATTCCTACTAACCGCTGACCTAAATAAATAAGTACGATGCAAGAACAGCAATTAATATGCTGAAGCCTCCGCGTAGCAATACCCTCCCCCGCCAAGGTTTAGAGAATCGCCTTGGGCTGCATTTGACCCTGCAAGTCTTCTCTTGACAAGCTTTTGTTTGTGGTCTAGATGGAAAAATTTGACTATTTTCTGATAGGTTTCAACAAAGACACCTGTCAACAAAACTGTAAATGGTTCAGGAGACATTTCATTCCATCACACTTTCCCTATTGAGTGTTGTTCTTAAGTACTCTATGCCGATTACATGCTGCTTAATTTGAGCTTGCCAGGAGAATTCACCAAGGAAAAGTTACATTATAGATTCGGCTTTTGGTTGGACTGTAACAGACGACGAATGTTAACAACATGCAAATGAAAGAAAGCTTTAGAAGAGAGTTGACGAGAGTCTCGACAAATATTGCCTCACCTTGCGAGAGGATTTCTGATTAAGTTTTTACAGTTAATTTTTTATTTAGTTAGGGGCAAATGGACCTTGTCACTTACACGAACGATAAAGGGATCTTCACAGTTGTCGGAGAACAAAGCTTGAATATGTCCTCCGACACATAAAAAACCGTCGCCTGGCTGACGCATGGTTATGTCACGACTATATATATTTATACAATAATATTAGTAACAATAAATTATCATATTATAAAAATGACTAATGCTACGTTTCTGAACAGCCTACGCCATCTGTCACGCAAGACGTATCTGTTTCCGTAAGAGGATATACTGTCACGCAAACATCTTTGTTTACATCTTCTGGCAACGAATCTTTGTCGTCATTAGTTCTCAATGTTCTCTGAAGCAATGTAGTCTGTTCATGGTAATATCCAGGAATTTCTAGATTTTGTTGTCCAGCTCCTTCGGCTGGATCTTCAGTTTGAAGTTTATTCCGTGTATTACACGGTCTATGCTTCTCAGAGTCACTATCAGAAACATGAATTTGTACTGAAGTCACCACTTGTTGATAACTGGGAAGACAAGCATCCGAAGGACATGACGATGCGAGAGAGCTATGACTACCCTTTAGCGAGTTCTCCGATGAGACATTATCGCCTGTAGACGACTTCTCTTCGGAACCCGAAGCGTTTTCCGAGCTCGACGCGAGATTCATACACGGGCCTTGCGCCGACTCGGATGAAGTAATAAACGTAGCCGTTGATCTTGGCGACTCGCGACTGTTTTGAGTGCTACTTGAACTGGACGATTTTAAAGGAATGTAGCTAATACCCTCGTGTTGAAAAGCCTTCGCATTCGCCTCGTCACATAGCTCCGCTTCAAAATGCGACACGTGCTGTGAACGTCTTCTTGGAGATGCCTTCTTTCCGCAGGAAAGAGTATTGTATTGAATGAACAGCCACACCATTGATGTGACCACAATGCAGGACACCACCACCACAACAATGATTCCAAGAAATGTTTTCTTATCGTACTTCACGTACTTTGATTTGTTCGTCTTATCAGGATTGACATCACTCGCGCATTTTTCTGCAAAACAACAGAGAGACTTATAAACCTGGAAAGCATTCTACATTCACAGCAGACTAAAATATCCCTACTAAAAGTTAAACCTAACGTTTAGGTACTTCTTTCCTTTTACGCTCTTTTTAATTATTTAATTTCTCTTTTCTGACGGTCTACTTTGGTTTCNTGCAACTAACAGTGATCATATTTAAATACACACATGCATTACTGGACCATGGCATGCAACTAACAGTGATCATATTTAAATACACACATGCATTACTGGACCATGGCATGCAACTAACAGTGATCATATTTAAATACACACATGCATTACTGGACCATGGCATGCAACTAACAGTGATCATATTTAAATACACACATGCATTACTGGACCATGGCATGCAACTAACAGTGATCATATTTAAATACACATGCATTACTGGACCATGGCATGCAACTAACAGTGATCATATTTAAATACACACATGCATTACTGGACCATGGCATGCAACTAACAGTGATCATATTTAAATACACACATGCATTACTGGACCATGGCATGCAACTAACAGTGATCATATTTAAATACACACATGCATTACTGGACCATGGCATGCAACTAACAGTGATCATATTTAAATACACACATGCATTACTGGACCATGGCATGCAACTAACAGTGATCATATTTAAATACACACATGCATTACTGGACCATGGCATGCAACTAACAGTGATCATATTTAAATACACATGCATTACTGGACCATGGCATGCAACTTTACTGCTAAATGTTTCATCGCTACTTTCAAATTAGTGAACAGTCTGCGAATGACACTGCGAGGTTACACTTGGATGCTGGTATCAATTCCCTTTACATAACGCCCAAATATAACACACATGCAACTCAATCTTAAGAAGCTAAAATAATGGTTACATTCTTTTTTTTCCATGAGGGGGTTTATCAGTGGAAAGGGGCTCAATGGGGTATCTACTAAAACTTTAATTTATTCGAAGCAAGACATCATGGGCTGGTTATTTACACGAGGTGTAACCCAAACCGCGGTTTTACGCAAGCAGTGGGTTCTCAAGGATTCTTTTTAAGAGAGTTGATCTAATTAAATAAATAATCTTCCACCACCAGCTTTCGGCCCTCTTGACACTGATCATAAAAATAGATGTCCAGATAAAAGATTGAGCTGAAGTGAAGATGGCCTATATCGCCGTTTTAAGAAACAACGGCTAAACTTCGTTTAAATACCCAGCCCTATGAGTACCAATCACCTAAGACAGTAACAAGGGCTGATGCACTAGCAGACCCAGCATCATTTGTTGCCTTGCAGGTGTATTCTCCAGAATCCACTGGTGTTGCATTCTTAAACACAAACACTTTCTTCTCAGACGAGTAATCCATGCGCTTGTCACTTGCTGCTGGAAAGTTTGAACCACCATCTTTCTCCCAGGATACCTGCGGCTCTGGGTAACCCTCAGCTTGACAATGTAGCTCAAAATCTTCACCTGCTTTAACATACAAGTCCCTAGGCTTCTCTGTGATCTTGGGGAATACTGAAAACAAAACAAACAAGATCGATATTACCTGACACTCCATAAAATTCCAGGGGAATACTGGAAAACAAAACAAACAAGATCGAAACTACATGAAATTCCATAAAATTCCAGGACCATTTCCAAGGCTATTTTTTATAGTTATATTTTCATGACCGACACTCACGAGGTTGGTTTTCAAATAATATAGCTTATTCAGTTAATCAAGGTATTTCTTCTTAACTTTTCTCAGAATAATTATTTTCAGCGAACAAACTCACATTTCAAGACTTCCCACACCTCAGAAATTATATTATAGAACTCTATAAATTTCCAGGTTTTTCCAACCTTGTTCGAATGAGTATCAAAACCAATCGCATTAAAGTTACAGCTGTTTGTATTCCTTTTCTCTCAATACGGAAACCTTGTACAAAAAAAGAAATGTAACTCACCAGATAAACAAATAACAACTACTACAACTGCGACTTGATCGCTCAACTTTTCTCGACCATGAAGTTTTCCCATACATATGGCACTTTTCCTGCCTTCAATATGATGATGGGCAAAAATGCTACTTACTTGGTACAGATATAATCCTTATAACTATTTGCTCTACTTACCTAGTACTGTGATCTGAACTATCTTTGACTGAATAGGTGTGAAATAGCTTGTCACCACACATTGATAATTGCCACTATCCTTGTTTGTCACTGATACCAAACGAAGCTCACTGATGTAAGTGACCATGTCGCCAACACTGGTCTGTAGAGGGGAACACATGTTCAAGAAAAGAAGCAGGCTATTAGCCAAGTTAATCAGAGATCGAGATTTATGGCCATTGATGGCTTGCAATGGTTCCTAAAGCACTGACAAAGTGCAGTGATTCTCATTACTAGTACTTCAGCCTCCCTAACCCTCTCCCCCAAACACACATATCACTTCCTCATTACTAGTACTTCAGCCTCCCTAACCCTCTCCCCCAAACACACATATCACTTCCTCATTACTAGTACTTCAGCCTCCCTAACCCTCTCCCCCAAACACACATATCACTTCCTCATTACTAGTACTTCAGCCTCCCTAACCCTCTCCCCCAAACACACATATCACTTCCTCATTACTAGTACTTCAGCCTCCCTAACCCTCTCCCCCAAACACACATATCACTTCCTCCTGGGTTGACGTTTATCAAAAATCCACAAAATTCAGATTAAATTAAATGAATGACTCATATCAGATTCCTTGCCAATCTCCCTTTCACTCAATAGTTCTAAATAAAGATTCTCTGCAATGTCTGCAAACAGCTCTTGTGACTTAACTTCCCAGAATTTGATGTTCAATCAAATAAACTCCCCTAAATGACGGTTCTTTCCCCTCATAGTCTTTCCACTCAAAAGTAGATTCATTTTGTTAACATTTTTTTTCTCCCAAAAATATCAATACAATATCAAGAAGACAAGTGACGAGAATAAAGAATAATGTCAATAAAGGGATTAATCAACAACAAACATATGAAACATATGTGTGAACTGCGGTTATAAGACGTATATGAGAACGATCCTTCGCAGTAAAGCACTATTTGAGCAATAGTGGAAATCAGACCTGAAAAAAATTTCAGGCCTGTACGGGATTCGAACCACTGACCTCTGCGATACTAGTGCAGCGCTCTACCAATTGAGCTAACAAGCCAACTGGGAGCAGGCCATCAAATTAATTCGATATAAACCCGTAGATGATAAATCAAACAACAACAAACATATGAAACATATGTGTGAACTGCGGTTATAAGACGTATATGAGAACGATCCTTCGCAGTAAAGCACTATTTGAGCAATAGTGGAAATCAGTCAGGTTCGAATCCCGTACAGGCCTGAAATTTTT